AATCGGAAATCGGATTCCAACTTAATTTACTTTGCGATGTATAGTAGTTCAAAGATGTCTTCATGATTGACTTTACGTTCTGAACTTTCGCATCTGGACGACGACGTTATGTCATGTCAGAACAATTTAATCCATTGTCGTTCTAGAATTGACAAGCACTATACGATAGATTTATGAATCGAAAATATATTATATCTTAAGAAATATCGTATTATTTATACTCGTGTTTTATGTATCTTGTTTATATTATTCTAAATTTATGTTGTCGTAATTTAATCATTACAGACGCGAGGGGGGGGGGTATTACTGAGTGTTGCTAAAACAGCATCGAGTTTCAAAGCTTTCATTCAATTTATCGCAAATTAAGAAGCATCCCGAGAAAGCTTTTGTTACGAAGATTACTGCATTCTCGCTTGTGCTCGAAAGAATGGAAATGAGAAACTGTAAAAGATTAAAGAGAAATGTCTATTATTTCATGAATGATTGCAAGTAATTCAATTCTTTGAAAAAATGATATGTAACAGTAAATTTATAGCGATATTTAAATACCATGAAACTTGTAACTTTTTATTAATGATGAAAGAATCTCAGTCGCGCGATATTTTGTTTTCGTTTTCGATAATCAATCTTTCAGAATAAGAGTGTCAAAACAACACAACACATGATAATTAATAATTTGTTTATAATACATATTCATATAGTTAAAAACATATAACATAAAACTGTTTTAAATGTAGCGGATAGTTTTTAAAATGCATGATAATATATCGAACAATAATCCATATGTTAAGATCATTTTCTCGAGATAAATCAATCAGCTTTACAAAGGTCACAGTTACATGTCCAGCAAACTTCCTTTCATTACGAGTCAAAACCTTTCTTACAGATAATTCCACAAAGTTAACTATCTATAGGTCAAAGTGTCTATAATTCTCCTCCACTGTTATAAGAGAAAATTATTATTTTATTTATTCTTACACAAAACGTGAAACCATTTATTATCATGAATATTAATCTTTAATTTAATTTATTCGGTTTCTTTATCGATAGAAAAGAATTTAAATTTCTCTCTCTCGACATAGTTATTCAATAAAACTTTTCTCTACAACTCAACTGAAGTGAATTTAAATAATTATTTCAATCATTTAATATCGTAGTAATTTAATTATTATTATATAATTATTTCAATCATTTAATATCGTAGTAATTTAATTATTATTATAATTAAATCACTACGATATTAAATTATTGATAAGAGATTTCTTATTATTTAATCTCCCAGAAACTTTATCATATTCACAATTATTGTCTATCGCTTATAAGCTTGAAATTATTAGTATAAGCACTTATTAGGTAAGAATAATTAGTATCTTGACATTTTAGTAGAAATCAGAGATTTAAGGCATTAGAGAATCAATGAAATTAGAATGTCTTAAAGAAAAAAGACGGTAGACGGAGAAAATATAAGCCATTAACTTTTTCTTTCCGTGGCAGTGCTTCTTTATCTATAAAGTAAAAGAAAATAATTGAAATCATCTGATTGGTCGGCTAAGAATAATATAAACAAAATTTATCTTTCCTTTATTCTTTTTTTTATTGACATTATCATCAGAATATCAATAAATGCGCTAATAAATCTCCGAGAAGTAGCAGTTAATACGTCAACGAAGTGGCGATTCTCGTCCTCAAGAGGACAAGAAGCGCACCGGGGCGAGCAGGTACAAGTTGCGCCGCAATAAAGCGAAAGGTGAAATCGCTCTTGAAAGTCGATTACTCGCTTCCTGCCTCGGAAAGAAGAAAGTGGGCGGCGTTCGCGGGGGGTTCGCCCCTTTAATCCGATTAAATACGTCATTCCTGCTCTACGCTCTTCTATATAACAAGTTAGCATGAGGAAAACGCGAAGCTAGCATTATCGATCTCGGATCAGCCTGCTTGTTCCACTTTGCAACGACTGAGTTACGTCTCTCTTTTGAACCACGATCGAAGAACCATCGCCGACAATAATCGCTCCCTCTACGATATATAACAATGTCGATGACCGAGATAAAAAAAAATAATATCGCGTGCATGCCCCCCCTCGCAAGCGCGAGAATAGGCGATCATCATTTGATGCGGCGCGTCGATAAACTGGCAGATAAAAAGATAGGCTCGAGAGACGTTTTAATAGATCGTCGCCCCCGCGCGACAGAAGTAAAGGGCAGGTTCGTAAATTGCGAATGGCGAAACTTGATCGCGACCAGAAGAATTTATCGCAATTGATCTGCGGAGTTTATGACACATCGCGGATAGTCCGCGGATAGTCTTTAATTGCTCATCTCCAGAATATTAGCGACGAGTATCGGAAAAACAATTATTTTGTTTCTCGCCACAAAAAATATGTAAAAAATATTTTGTTCTTTGACGTATATGAAGTTTTCAAATAGTTATTTTATTATTTATATTTATATCCATAAAAATAAAATATATTAACAATATAAATAAAATGAGTCACATAAATAATTAAATGAAAAGAGAAAAGAATTCTAATCTTGACAAGATAATAGAAGAAAATTTTTACATGAACTTTGTTGCATGTATTTTTGCATTATTTTTATGGTTCTTTTTTTAGCTTATTTTCTAATACATTGTTTTATATTAAATATATATGAATCGTTTCCTTCAGAAGTCTGACAAAAATATTATTTTAATACTTAAACAAGAAAGTAACGATATTTTTATCTATAATATTAATATAAAAGCTTATATTTAAATATTAAATCAATTAATACATGAAATAAAATTTATACATAAGTACGCAAAATAAACGAAATAGGAAAAATAATGTCGAAAAAAATCTATCATATCATATATATAAAATCATTTATCAATGTCTACGATCTTATGAAAAAGTATAGGAAAACCTCACAATTCTTGTTTCTACATTAATTTCTGTCTATTTATACTGAATAATAATTAAATGAATTATTTTATTTTATTTTTTTTAACACACTTTACTTTTATAATTATAGAAAAGTATCTTCTCAGTGATTTTTTAATTTGAGATCTTGATATTGCCTATAAGTATTAAAATTAGATGAAAACACATACAAAGTCCATTTGAAATTATATAAGAAACGAGCACGTATGTGTGTATGTATTGGTCTTATTTATTTCAGATATCTAAGATTTAATTCACGATGAATTTTATTTCAATTCAAAGTTTTAATTCAAACAGCTTTAACATTCCGGCGCGCGCCGAAATTTGTTTTAATTTAAATAAGAAATGTTCTGCTACTATATAAAAATATGCTTTATAATTATATATTTAGAGCGTATAATTATATATTTTAGCGTGGTTGTTGATGTTTTAGATTTCTCTTTCATCAACCTTCGCTTCTTTACAGATACATCGATCAAGAGCAAGAGTTAAATCAGGAGGAACACCCTGTTTGTCATTTCTAAGAAATAAGATGGTCGATTACAATCTTCAAATCAAAACGACACGAAGATTTGCAATTAGCTAAGATTAGCTCTAGGAAATAATGTGGTTTTCCAGCAACCGATATTTTACGATTTCCTCTTTGCTTCATGAGAAGTTTACGATCAAAGATATTGATCATTAGCGCCTTCTGAAATTAATACCGTCCTCAAGCGATAAAGGCAAATTGAAGAAAAAATCCTTTTTTTTTTAGGAAATCTGCATAAACATTAATTTTTCGAATACAAAGATATAATATAAAAATCATATAAATTATTCAATAAAATATATTATAAAATTTTAGAATATACTTGAAAATATAAATTCTTACAGCAAAGCTGTATATATATTGTATATTAAGAGTATTGTATTATTTTTCCCCCAATATAATTATTTCAATTAATATTGTTGAATTATTATCTCTATATTTACTATAACTTGTCGAGAATTTCTTTAATTTTTTGAGAAGGAAAAATACATATAATAGTTATAGAATTTTTCATTTTACGTCGAAAATTTGCTTTCAACATTATTTTAGCGCTACTCAATTAAGCGATGCGACTCACGATTTATGCGCAGCAAAAAGTCGCGTAGTTTAACTAACACGTTACGTAAATATCATTATTCTTCTTTCAATTCCATTTACGAAGAGCAGCTGCTTTCGACATAATGGAGTTACTACTGAGAACTGCGGGAATGCTCGTATATTTCGTAACGAAATCATTCGTTCATCATTTACTGACTGTAGAAGTGAGAATTTCTTTACATTAAAATCAATTAATGCTTGTTAAAATAAACTTCCACATGTATAACAGATCTGTTATTTCAATTTTATTAAAAACGAGTTTATATAAAATAAATATTCCAGCAATCATCTTTAATGCATTTATTAAAAACTCGAACTATTACTAGTTTATTAGTTTGACGCATTGAAAATTTGATTCATTGCAATAAATCAAAATATATTATATAATTAATTCAGATTGTGTGCTCGTCCTTAAAGAAAATGTTTTGAGATACATATTTCTCGAACATATATTTGAAAAATGATTGACGTAGAAAAATAGAATTTTGTATCTTTCTTATTTGATGTATCTCATATTGCTTTAGACTTATTGCATTAACAAACTATAAGAGAAAATTCTTTAATCAATTTCTTAGTTCAATCATGTTTTTTTTAATTATATATTATAAATTATTCTTGATTCTTTCTGCAATCCAATCTTAAATATTATACTATTTTTCCAATCACCAAACTAAATTTCAGATTTTATTAAAAGAGGAGAATGTTTGTAAAGATATATTAACTTAAACAAAATTATTATATTATATCAACACGCATCGTTTTGAAACTTTGTTTGGGACAAAATCTGATCCGTGAAAAATTTGATCAATCTCATAACTTATGAAACTTACGAATTCGTAAGTTTCATAAGTTATGAGATTGATCAAATTGATCGCAAACAAGAGTTTGAAAAATTTTTCGAAACAATTTTAATAAAAAGGCCGCATAATGTCTCGAGAGAATGTAATAAAAACTCACCAAGATGAGAAAAGGGCGCTCTCCCGGGATTTGCTCGAAATGTAATATGCCGAAAAACGTGGCGCGTCTACGACGAGCGGAAACGCGGAAGGGGTCGTCCTCGATTCGACGACGAAACGGCACTGACCGTGTCAGACGAAGCGCTTGATGTCGACTACTGCGAGTCGAGCCGAGTCACTTTTGAGGAGTCTGCGCAGCGTCGTCCATCACTACTCGCGGATTCTCCTACCTTCAGCCACATTTCTTCCATTTTTCCTCACGATTTTCTTTTCTTCCCTCAAATATTTGGGAGATTTAGAATATTCAGTAATAGAAATATATGTGAGTGTGATATTTTTTCCGTGAGAAATTGAAATTTGTGTCTCCAATCTTCTCGAATTAATCCTAGGAAATAATTTAATAATAAGTATTGTATCTTTTTTAAATATTATTAATATAATTAATGTAAAATGAGATATTCAATTTCTGTTATTTCAAAAATTTAATAGAAATTTTAAAGCTAGAAAATGATCAAATTGACTGCGACACTATGTCGACAGAAAGGAGAAAGCGAGAGATAAAGAACTCAGTATTAAGGCTTGTATATAAAAATGCACTTTTTTGAAATTATTTTTTGCAACTAATTTCAATATCACCGTAAAGTTGAGTAGCTTTACAAATCCAAAAGCATCCGAGAATGCTTCAAGATTCTTCTCTGCAACTTAATCCTTCCAGTAAAAGCTCGAAGTTAATCTTTAAAATTTCTAGGAATTATATATTTCTATGAATATTATTTCTGGATGATCACTTTTCAACGCAATTATCAACTTCTCACTGTGGATTCTGGATTCTATGCCGCAACCATGTCGAAAGACTTTGTAAGTCACTCATAACAAACTTTCCGGAAGTTCCCTTCCGCTGACAATCAAGCAACTCGTATAACTTTCAGGAAATAGGAAACAGATTGCACACACACATATAAGCTATTGATGTTGAATGAAATATATGCGTCAAGTTCTATTATTAGCGATGCGAACATATCTAATAAAAAATTTTTATGTTACATAAATTTTAAATTTTTAAAAAATTCAATATTCAAGAGAGAGAGAGAGATTTCAAGATTTTAGATTTAATTGAGAGATTAAAATACACAACTTTTAAACGATTTTCTCTGCTAAACTAAGACAATGAATCTAAAGTATTTAATCTTACTTATTATTTAGTTTGTCTTTACATGCTTCGTTAATTAAATTGCTTCTATAATCCAACTATAATATTAATTACAGTTCTCTCAAAGATAAAAAATATTGTATACTATGTCTTAATATAATTGTGCATTAAAACATAACGTTATTCATTACAATTTTTCATTTTCTGGAATAAAATTGAAAATTAATTATTATACAAACAGTTATCTCTATTGAAATCGATATTTGATACTCACTATTATGTAACCATAATACGCGAGTACTTTCTTCTTGCGGTATGATAGTGTTTCGCGAGTTTCACGGTACTTACGTAATAGTTTACAACATACTACGTAACAATCCGCAACTTTGTTAACAACTTTGTTTTTACCAGTTTCTGTTCGACAGTTTCTCAAGCTGAACGTATAGAATATGCGTTATTCACTTCGCAATTAAATCACTAAGGGGATTGTTTATCACGGAAATCACGCCAAATCAGGAGGATGCATTCTTTTTAACGATGGATTATAATCAGTTATGGTTGTCATTTTGAATATTTGATTTGATGCGATGTTGTGAAATAATATACACGACGTTGCTTTAATCTAGCATTTCGTTTATTGTATAAATATATCACCAAATAAAATATTATGTAGTAAGATTGCGTTTGCGTAACGCGAGAAAGAATGCGAAGGAGATCGAACGGGAACGCTATTGTAAGAACGAGGCCGAAGATAAGGAAAAAAAAGAGTGCGCTCGATAAAAGAACGTATATAAAAAAATATATATATGTAACTGTACCGGGAAGTTTCTATGAGCAAGCAAGAAAAGCCATATATTCTCCTGCCAGAAGCAACAAAGTAAGTGGCAAACCACCCGCTACACTTCCTCCACTCATGCAGATCGAATGGAAAGGAAAAAGAAGATCGTGTGTTCGATCCTGAGAGCTTCATCGTCGCGAGTGCATTCGCTATTTTACATAATATAGTAAAAATATATCTCTTTTCGATCTCTAGAAAATATCATTATCGTTATTAGCAGTATCATGATCATCGTGTCATCATTATATCATCATCATTATTATTATTAATATCAACTTTAATTAGCTTATGTATCACTAGACAATGAAATATTGTGAACGCATCTTTCTTTTATGTACTGAAACTTCGAGACCATAGCCGTAGAAGTAATTTCATATTTACTTTTCGCTATATTTACTTTTAAAATATCATTTAAAAAAATGATACATTCATTTTAAAAGACAAGGAACGATACATAGAATTTTTTGAATTTCTTCTGCTATGAAAATTGCGTTCATATAATGAAATACATGAAACCTTTTTTATATATGGCTGCGGAACTGTACTCTCGAGCACAATCCAGAGAGTAATTACCTTCCCGCTTAATCAATGAATTCACAGGTAAGGGAAGGCCTCGTTTTAATTCTTCGATCGCGATCGCATGTGCTCGCGCTTTCTAAATAACGATAAAACCTATGTGGGATGTTTACGTGATTTTTAAATTGATCGAAATTGCACCACATTATTATGCATTTATATATTATACTTATAATTAGTGAAATGACAACGATTTTTTCAATTTATCGTTTTATTTGGGATGTTTATTCTATGTAAATGAATTAAACGTGAACGTCCAAATATATGTCTCGCGAATATCGCACATACATTCAAATAATAATTAAAAAAAGATTGGCATTTTCAACATATATGTATGTACGAGAATAAATTAGTAAAAATTTTCGCGAAACATCAATGGCCTTTACTTGATTACTAATCTTTGCTATTTGAAAAGAGATTTTAAAATAACTGTATCGAGGCAGAGGAACTTTCCCTCACCCGACAAGAATTCGGGCACAACCCTGAAAATATTATGTACATTGTCCTCTACTTCATTTCTCTCTATCTTTCGTACAATTTTTTTTGCTTTATTATGGCAAGTACAAAATTATCCTTGTTTGAACTTTCGTAATTCAACTGAAAGAACGAAATAAAAGGAAAAAAAAGAACAATAAATGCTCTTATCTAATTCCATGCACGTGTGCGTAATTCGTGCTGCATCGCGCAGTTAGCATCAAATGTGATTTTCAGTTATTGAATTATGAAGATTGCACATATTGTAAAAGTGAAATAAGTATAGAACAATCGCATTCAATGACTAAATGCGCGATGAGGATACATATTGTTGTTTTATCTGGCGACGATGAAAGTTAATCCGGAGAGAACGTTCAACGATAGAACAATGACTAATAACATTTTGTAACAATGAATCGAATTCGATCGTCCATATACATAACATAAGCATCTATTAAAAAAGAAATTCAACAACATATTAATACGTACAGGCTTATTCATAATGCGCGCTGTATTTTATATCCGCGAATATTGTTTTATATAAATATATCCAAAAGTGCCAGAAGAGAGAGGTATATATTTCCATATGTGCATGCTTTACAAATTTTTTTTTGTTTCTTTTCTTCCTTATAAGATTTCATATATCGTTTTCCAATTTTGAGTCATAAAAGAATAGTCGCCTGGTAAGTGAAAGACGAGTACGATTTAAAAAATTTTTGATATCTAAAAAAGTCTTCATATCAATTTATCTAAAACCTATTTCGATTGTGACGTAATTTATATCGCGATTTGAAATATCTTGCTGTAATATGATAAAAAAATTAATATTAATAAAAATTATATCAATATAGAGGATGTATAAAGAAAAATATGTGTCATAAATATATACACATATAATCTCAGTATCGATAATGCGTATTAAAATTTTCGCATAATTGTTCGTATTTGCCAAAATCACTTCTAATTCATATTTATTTTCCTAGCTTGTACTCTATAATAACAGAGTTAAGCTCTACTCTTTGAATTTAATTTGTAAATATTACAAATCGTACTTGGGTAATATATTCAAAGGCTAATCTGCACTCCAACTTCAATGCGGTTCACGAGATATCTTTCATTGTGAGCAGACATTAAGGCATTAACCTGTGCGCTAATTATGACTGTTTCAATTTATATTCCCACAACTTCTCGGACGTGTTTTTTTATTGAACACAAATAATTGTCAGCCGATAAAAGCTGCAATTATATGTCGACTTCCGTACTTTTCATCAATTATAAATGCGGAATGAATTTTTTAAAACGAATTCATTAGGGCAACAATTCTACGACTGCGATTTTCGAGAAAATGCAGTTTCACATTTCAGTAACTGATTTAAATTCTTATAATTCCGCATGCTTCATTCATCCGCAATTTGATATCGTACTTTATATCATTCGAAAATTTTGCGAATAACTTTCACGCAAACCTTAACCAAATCTGTGATTTATTAAGGTTAATATCGCATCGGCTGCCAGACACCGGTGGTTTCATCCCGGCGATAGTAATGAGGTTTATTATCTCGGAAAACAGTGACGGCTGGAAATTGATTGTCCTGAATATACTTGAGCGTCGCCCGTACCTGAAACAGAAATTTTGTTATTGTCTAGTAATTCGCATGAAACGTGCGCAGTTGGTTTTGTTAATTTATCTTTTTCTTTCGAAATGATTTATAATATTATATATAAAAAAATATATCAATTGGCATTACTTGTGAGACGAAATGTGGTTGTTCTACTTCCGGTGACGTTGACAGATGTTGCAGGATGAATTGATCGGTTTGCGCCAACCAGAGATCCACACCTCGCAAAGGATCATAATTAAACGGACCGATTCTAAGTAATCCAAGACCGCAATCGTATATATCCAGAACCTGTGCATAAATAAGACAAACATATTTAATCTTCTGAAGGAATTGGATTACATAAAATTTGATAGAACTCTCATTTAATAATAAAATATATATTTTATTCATTTATATAAATAATTTGCGAACACGCGAACTATGAGCTCTCTCTTGTACATAGTTAGTGCTAAACTATAAAATACTATTACGAATACAAACGTTGCATACACGCACCTGCTGACCTCCGGTCAATTGTCTGGCGCACCGCAGCGCCTGATCCGGGCCTTTGTCGGGGAAAGTTGCGGGAAAGATCTCACCCGTTTTCACGTTCAACCCGATACCGTAGATCACCGGCCAATGAATCCCGCCTCTCACAGTGGTATTTAGCTCGCCCACACAACATAATGTCAGGTCGATTTCCACTGGTTGTTTATGAAATGCAGCTGAAAACCACATCGATCTCGTTAACATTATAGATGAAACGCGATATTGTAATTTTATTGAATTTTATTTATTCAACTGTCATATCAAAAAAAGTTTCATTTCTATATAATCTAATATTATTTGATCTATATAAAAAATAAAACTTAACACGCGGATATTAATATAGATCATATTAATTTTTATCAAATTAAATTTCGGAAAATGTAATATAAATTCTGTACATGTTCCGTTTAATTTATCCCTTTAATTTATCTCGAACAAAGGGAGAAAATGATTTAATTTTATTACATTTACGAATGAGATAAAGCAGATGTAACTCGGTTATATGTGCAAATGTAATAATTACAAGCTAAAAAAATTTATTTTCAATAGAACAAACTCCAGCATTATTCTATTCTTTCATTTATTTCAGCGTTACTGAGAAAAATTACATATTTAAAAAATTAAGCATGTTTCTACTTACAAAGTATAGTGTAGAATAATTCCTCGGAATAGTTTCGCGGATCGGAGTAACCGCCGACCAATTGCAATTCCAGCCGACCTTCGGGATATCCAAGGGTGAGTTCCGTTACCCTCTGGATCATCGCCACCGCAGCATCTTCTGTTCCAGAGCCGTCAAGATGCGCCAGTGCTGCGGCTCCTGAACCTGAAAACCAGATATTGAGGATCTCTTATGGTACCATGTGCGATTTAAATAATGCATTTAGTTATATAAAAATATGAAGAAAATATGCTTATTTAAAATTATGATTAAACATAAGTATTTAATTATGATTTAACATAAGTATTTATTAATAATAAATTTTTATCTACAAAATAATTCCGATACAAGAACGGATAAATTTTGCACTTATTTTTATCAATTATTATTATTGTTATTAACGTATATATTAACAGCTTGTTTACTGCTATTGAAAAATAAATTAAAAGAAACCCTCTTGAGATATCCAAATAAAAAAAAAATTATCGTTTGCGCTTTATGCGACCGTCACTACGTATCTCTTTTCGCAACAAATATATCGATTAAAAAGAAAATTAATTTCCGAGCGCTTAAACATTGCTACCGAGCTGGCTCGCTAATTATCGCAGCGTAGTAATTATCGCGAGCAAGCCGGCGTATTGGGTCTCTCTCGCTGTTTATTGCATCGAGCGAACGAAACAGCTAAGAGCATTCGCATTGTACTGTGATGTACTAAAACGATTCAGCATCACAAGATGTATCCGAGAGCGCCTTCTCGAGAGGATCGATCTCAACGCGTTCACTAGACGCGATTTATCGTCGTACATCTTGAACGAAGTGGAACGAAGTGAAACGAAAAGAGAGAATGGTAGTTGAAACGCGTGTATTCTGCGGCAATATGATCGAGATACTATAAACATTCAATTCGCGAATGTATTATGCGTATTCTCTTCATTAATTAATGTCTTTTATAAATGCGTTATAATAATTATTTGTTACAATAATTAATTTCTGAATATTCTTGCATGACAATAGTTGAGCAAGATGGAAAAAAACTCGCGATAAAAACTTTTATATTGCGAACTGTTACTTAATTACGTACTTTCGAAGTCGCTTTCTACCTCTGCCATTATTCACGCGCAACCTTAAGACGATCGGAGACACCCAGCCTGAGTCGCGATGCACTGTCGCCGCAACAGGAGAAAGTTAAGGAGAACGTACTCGATAGTTTTGTCGAGATGGACGGTACAATGTTGATGGATTTCTTCATACAAGAAGAAATGCGTTACAGTGCGGAAAAGCAACATTTATGGAGCTCCGTGTACATTTGTTGTTAGTTATTAATGTCAGGCTGAGAAAACGCATGTTGAAGAAAAATAATAATTTGAATAAATTTTTAATATTCAGCACGCAAGATTATATTAACCATCACTTGAGAATCTAATCTTTTTCTTATCGTTGTATAAAATTAGAATTTTTTCATAACTGTGATTTAATATTTTTCTTTCGCGGAATAAATTTTTTTTTGTTTTTCTCTAAGTGAGATATATTGAAATTACACGTTTCCAATTTTATATTACTATACTGCTTGCATAATTTTCCTCGTGGAAAATTGTGCAAATAGAGCTCATTATTTTACAAATCGCGCAATTATTTACTCAAAGCTTTCCGAACTTGACATCATAGAATTAGCAAGTCAATTAAATGACTTTGTGATATAGATGTGAATCGTAAATTAATCAGCATTTTTTTTCCTTCGAGTTCGACAAAACTGATTCTATTACTCAGCTCTTTTTCCAAATAAATGACATTTCGCATTTTATTTTTTCGCTTTACGATAATCATATTATGAGACAATCACTCGAACGAAAAATAAATAAATCCATTATAAGCCTATGGACAAAGGGAATAAAAATCGGCATAAAATCGGGGAACTCTAAGATGATTGTAAAAATCAAACTTCGACTTAATGTTATTTTTTTTTCAAAAGTTCTTGTTCATCGGTTCTGTAATTAATTCACATTAGGTGAATTATTGCGCTCGGATTTCTTTTTCTTTTTCTTTCTTTTGAATGCTTCTTTGCCTATTTCTTTTTTTTCAAAAGTTGTGCTAAGATCTTTTACATCTCTCTTATTCAGTTTTAATAAAAAAATCTAAATGCACATAATTTAATAATTTTACAGACATATCGCAAACCTTAATTTTTTTATCAAAATTGATAAAGTTTATCTCTTTAATGTCAGAGTGGCAATAATCTCAGAGTGATTGAAAATGAAGAATTTTTGCGCGAGAGGGAGAGAGAACTAAGTTTCTGAATTGCACTAATATATCTTGCTAATATTCGCATCTTGCTTAAAAAGAATTTCCATTTTATTAATTTTATTATGAATATTAAGATACGAGTTTTACACAAGATAATTATAAATAATTGACATTTTTCAATGACATCATACAAATCGAACAATCTCGCTTTGTCGTTGCGTTATTCCGACCTCTTTTTTTCCATTAACCGTGTAGCGAGCAGTAATTTATATGCAACTAACTAGTTTATAACGACCGCGATTGTACTTTCAAATATACTCACCGGAATGCCTGACGACGACGATTATGCACGTTGTCATATCGTCCGAACCGAGGATGTTCACGTTCTCTGTGAAAGCAAAAAAAAATAATGCGGTAGTGAGCATAAATACAACATTTCGAGAAGTTATAGATTGTTAAAATTGTTCGTTGATGCAGTAGAAATTTTTCATGTTTATGTAAAATAAAAATTTTTGTGATTTCCAAAGAGATTTATATTTCTATATCTCTACATACATCTACTCTCTATTTATTATTTTACTAAAGATATTTTACTAAAGATATTACGATATTAAGATTTTCTCAAGTTTGCACGAGAAACAATTTTAGATCATTTCAAAAATTGTATACATAATTAAAATAGGTCATTTCAAAAATTGTATATATAATTAAAATAGATAATTTAGAAAGAGGACGAGACAGAGGGCAATTCACTGATTTCCACGTTTGGTGTATCTTTATTATAAAATGCTAAAGACGCGTGAGAAGAACAGTCGCTTTTTATACGAGATTTTTTTTAATACGATAAATAATTTTTGCATTATGGAAAAATATATGTTTCAATATAAAATTTATGACAATTTTATTACTATAACAATCAGACGAATCGTTGTTTTAAAAATTATACTATCGAAAAAGAATTGGACTGTAATTTGCTCCGATAACACGCGAAATAACAGCATCCGTCTATTTATCATCTCGTGCGTTTGTTATTTTTTTATTCTTATAATTAAGTGTAATCATAACTGATAGATTGGCGAGTTGCGTCAATTTTGCAACGATATCACACAAGTTGCCGGTAACACAGTTCGATATAACACATCCAGAGATAACACGGATATCCCGTGACTATATTGCATCAGTGACATGTTCTTTTGATAGATATCGACGGATTTTTTGGAAAAAGATTTTCTCTCCAAATTTCATATTTATTAAATATTTCTGTGATTTGATATTTAACGTCGATTTGCTCTATTCATATATATATATATATATATATATATGTATCTTAATAATATTAAAGATAGAGAAAACAAACTATTATAAAAAAAAAGAATATTTGAATATGAAGAATTATTTTTCTATTATTTAAATTATCGTTTTTTCATGTCTAATAGGTTTTCAATTATTATATGAAAAAACGTTATATGAAAAAAAAGAATCGCTTTATATATACTGTGAAATTAAACATGAAGAATTATTCTCCATGACTTATACTATTTAAATTATCATTTTTTCCATATCTAATAATAGGTTTTCAAGATATACGACAGGGTTATTTTATCTGGAACGCAAGTCTTGTATAAAGACTAATGAGTTTTATCTAACACGCATTTTCTCGAACTTAATGACTATAAGATTGCTTAGCGACGATGTCAATAAATTGTACGATAACAAAAATCGTTTATAATATATTCCATATCTGCGGCGCGAGATTTATTATTCCTGTCGAATTCATTTCAGACAAGTTATTTCTTATCCGATCGTCGGCGCGTTTGTGTAACTCTCACGTGAAACCCTTTCGTCTCCTTGAGCGTTTTTACCCAACTACCACAAAAAACGGCTCGCTTAAACACGACATATCGCACTTACTGTCCTGCGGCAGAGTCGCAGCCATTTCCCGTTGCTGGACGTAGAGGAGACCCACCGGACCCACGAGTTTCGCCGGCATCGAGTGCAGCTGGGCCGCGCTCTCGCGATATACCGGGTGGGCCGCGTACAAGGATCTGCTATCCGCGGGTATTTCCTCCTGCAGGACCACTCCGCCCACCACTAGCACCATCCTGCAAAAGCGAAACGAAGACGATGTCGATTAGAGCAACATGGAAGGTATATCTTATCTAAAAGGCGATTACTTTGTGCGATTTGGCGCGCATGAAATTAATTAATTCCGGAGAACAATACGAGCTCACGAGCGATTGATAATTTATGCCAATGGCGGCCATTTTTCACCGATTGATTTCCATTTTATTTCTCCACTGACGCACGTAGTCTTAAAAATGGACGACACGATATATCTTTATTGGACGAAGTTCAAGTTTATGTTTAACGGACGAATAAAAAAAAAGGCATTAAAAAACTTTCCATTGTTCAGTAGTTTCCTATCCACGTTTTCATGTCTTCTATTGATGTAAAAATATATCAATATATAATTTATAGTAAATATAATTCTTATAATTCTAAATTAATTCTTCGCAAGGCGATAATTAAAAATATTTTATAAAAAAGAATTCATTCATGATAAAGTGATTAGTGTTATTATAATTACAATTAAGGTTGCAATAATCTTCTTCAAAATACCATCTTTTAAAAAGGATGTTTCAAATCTCTACAGATTGAATATTTTAAGGAGAGAAACACAAGATAATTATTATAATAATCCAAAAAGGGGAAAGAAAAATTTGTAAAAATTGAATTAAGAAAAATTTGAATTTTATAAAAATTTTATAAACATTTTTACAAACAATATTTATACACTCTCTCAAGTCACTTGTAAATCCAACGGTCCGGCGCACATGATCTCGTGTAATAAATCATAACGGGCGGATCATTAAAATTAATTTACAGCAACCGTAAAGCAAAATAATTGTCGCGCGCGACGCAACAGGCGGGTGTTAAACGTCACGCGCGGTTGGCTTATCGAATATAAATTCGTTCGTGCGAGAGAAAACGCCCTCGTTCTCTTTCGATCCTCACAATGAAGTCCTCGGATATATCTCGGCGCACGATCGAAGCTTAGCATTGTGTGACAAAGCCGGTTACGGGATCGAGAGATCCGCGATTATCGGGCATATTGTCGGCACCACGCCATCTCGTCGCTCGTGTTGATCGTGTTAACAATCACGAAACTAAGCTAGATCGACTTATTCCGAGGTGAAGACTAAACTCGATCCCACAAAAGTTATCCACTGTGTCATTACGAGCGACTTTATTACTCTAGGGTATTGAGTGACATTATATTGAAGAAGAGCAGATTATCTCCGATTATTAAACAAGAATATAAATTATTGGAAATATAAAGTTTCTTTCTCCGAGAAAAAGTGAAAATTTGTCTCCAAAGTGTACATCAATCCATTGTGTTCGGTTAAGTTCAATTAAATATAATTAATAATCAACATAGTAATTAAAAAAAATTTTCTTCTCCTTTCTTACTTCTAGTACAGGTGCGAAAAATATATATAAATTATTAATATATTTATATGTTACGATATTATAAAATCCAATATATATATATATATATATATATATATATATATATATATATATTGAATCTTATAATGTAGATATCTTCTTAATTACAAAAAAGTATAACATTCAGGAGATCAATTAGTGATTACTTAAAAATAAAATATATAAAATATTTTATACTGCAGACATTTCGTACAATAATAATTATTACTACGAGCATGGTAACATATAAATATTAATAATTTATATTTCTCGCATCTGTTCTAAAAGTAAGAAAAGAGAGGAAAATAAATATACATATATATATATTTCCAATCGTGAGAGAAGGCTATATAAGACACATTAATCATACGTCCATCTCTCTATATAAATCACACTATTGATCTAAATCTAATTGTAAGTAAATATCGAAGCTTCGCCGATCAATAAAACGTCAATGATTATCATCCTCTTTCGATCCTGGCTATTCGTTCCTGCGAGAGTCTGAAAAGATGACATATCAGATAGCGCCATTCTACTTTTATTAATTAATAAAAAACACAGGCAATAATTATGAATAATACATGTTCTGCGCGATTTTAAACGCGGAATAATCATTAATTATATCGATAGTGTTCGTAGAAAGGAACACCTCGAGAGATATAAAGTTTTCGCAAAAACTCGTCGTGAGCGACACAAATCGTGGCAAGGACTAAAATAGATCCCGATTCACATGTCGTGCCTGCAGCTGCTTCTACGAATACAGAAATATGCAACGACAAAACCGTGCCTCTCATATATTCCTTCTCTCTAATAAATTTTTTGTTCTTGTTTTGTTCTTGTTTCTTTCTCTATAATTATTGATATATGAATATTCTTGATAATTCTTATAATCTAACTACACTCCTATATTCTTTTTTCCTTATAAAATTTAATTGTATATAGAACTTATATAAATAAATCATTTTATCTCCTATATTATTTCCTTTCAATCTTATTATTTCTGTATTATTATTTCCTTTCAACCATTTCAAATATACTCAAGTAAGGTCTATTTATCATTGTTATAAGGACATAATAAATAGAAATCATATCTTTTAAAATTGTTGTGAAAAGGTATAGAAATATGATTGAAAATTAAGAGGACTATTAATTAAAGAATATGAATTTCATGGGCAAAGATAAATTGTACGCGTTACTTAGGATAGATCTCACTTTACTTCTGCGAGAGAGACGTTACCGGTTAGCTCTAATCAAATATCCCGCACAATCCGTAATTACATCCCATTCTCTTTCCATCGATCTAGAAACGAAGGAGCAGAAAATTATAGCGCGACCGGCCGCGGGCCGTATCTTAGTCGCAAGCCGCGTATACAATGTACGTAGGTTTCGGTATTAAGGAGTACGGTACTGTAATCCAGATGAGATAATTGCATGTTTTGTATTCGGTGGAAATATCGCGGCTTAATTATACGGCGCGCGACATGCAATGCATACCGCTCGGAGCTCTTGGAGAGCGAGCGGATACTCGCTCGCTATTCATAATTTCGCGTTGCGATTCGTTTCGTTCCGTAAATGATGCTCGCCGCGTGACGAAAATCTTACGCCGACGTAATTAGAATTTTTGAGGATGCAAGCCTCGCTTCTCTCGTTAAAATATCAGCTCGTTCGTCTATCGTTAAAATAAAATATTTTTTTTTTATTTTTAAAGATATGCGATTTAAAACGACGTGCTTCGTAAATTCTGCCTGTAGGATAGCTACGTTCATTTACGCGAAATAGATCATCATTAATCAGTCTTTAAAATGAGAAGAGTGAAATTAAGAGTGACACGAGTCAAAGGAAAAGATTCGCTGCGCGAAATCCTCATCCTTGTCATCGTAATTGTTACGCGCGAGAGACTTATGTATAATTATTTGCATCGCGAGCAGCTGCTTGTCTAATAATAAGATAAACGGATCTCTGAGCTGTGGTTCGGTTGTGATCGCGGATAGCGATCACGTGGAAGCCGCGGCTACGCTGACGTAGCATTGCGACAATTCGCGCAAAACCGATATTATCGCGTGACATCTGTGCGCATTCGAGATAGCTGGAATTTATATATGTATATTATGTATATTATTCGAGGAAAAACACTATTTGTCGCAATATTACTCTCTATATCTTATAATAAAATATGATATCACTAACAGATTTATTGCAACACGTTGTTTACACGTGCTGTTATCACATGATTATCACATGGATTGCATTCACAAAATTTCAGAGCTCTTCCATCCGAATAATATAATACAATGTGTGTACGTAAAAAAATAAATAAAGAAAGAGAGAGAGAGAGAGAACGTGCGGTAAATTATAAAATTTAACCCGCACAAAGCTAAATTAGAAATTAAATTAATATATTGCGATATATAATAAACATCCAGAAGATTTCATTCTCACATTTTATATATTGTACATCAAATTACCTTATTTTTAGTTGATTTTGTTTCTAAAAGAAACAATCCGTAAATAAGAATTCTTTCTCAATAATAATAGGGTATGATACGAAAAGCACGTAATATATGTTATGTGACTATATGCGTCTCTATATTTTTCAAATTTATGGTCTTTGTCACATGTAAGACAATAGAATTCGATAATAAATATTGAAATTCCGTAAGCACTTCACTGCGAGATTTTAAATTATTTTTCAAATTACTATTTGTATTTCAGTCGATTTGTCTTCATTCACGATATCCACTAAAAATATCTATTGTCACGGATTTATACACCTTTTATCACATGTTACACGAGCTCTTTTATGCTTTTAAAAAGAAATATCTCGACTCTACCGATTTATCTCGATTTCCTCGATTTATCGTTGTGATTTTAACACGCTAATGAACACTAGCGAAATTAAAAATCGAGAATAATTATTTATTACCGACTTGCGTTAATAAACGACTGTCACTTTCCGCGAATCAATTCGCGACGAGATCCAGGATTTCGAAATCACCGCAAAATATGTCGAAGCAAACGCATTAGAGTGATCACTTCATGGTTCACGTTGCAGGATGTGCCGATCTCGAAGGATCTCGCGAGGAATTCGAGCCGATCGAGGATCCAACTGAGCTGCGACTAAGTTCGTCCGCGACGTTTTCATTCAGTCGACGTCGACTGTCCCGGAGCTCATTAACAAATCGTGTTAATTATGATTTCCTTTATCAACCGGAGCGGCGATTGGACGGCAGCGTGGACGCGGTAGGACGGGTTAAAATCCAAGCGGGACCAATCGGGACGGGCTCATCGATCGGATGTCGGGGTACCGTGAACGAGAAAATAACATGTTTGGCTCTGTCGGCAGGGCTTAGGAATCGAAATCGCTTCGATCCCGCATATTTTTTTTTTTCTTATTCTTTCCGCTTGCACCGGCCGGTCGAGCGGCGCGATATTACATCGTGAGAGCGCTCGTTCAACAGAGTGGCTAAAAAATTCGACGATACGAATTTTAGCCACTGCGAGAATCAGATAACTTCTAATTATTAGTAATCAAAAATCGTATGTGACATATATTACGTATAATTACTAATAATATCCGTAAAAAAATAATAAATAAAATACTCCAAATATCAGT